ACATATGTTTCATATGTTTGTTGTTGTTTGATTTATCATCTACGGGTTTATGTCGAATTAATTTGATGGCCTGCTCCCAGTTGGCTTGTTAGCTCAATTGGTAGAGCGCTGCACTAGTATCGCAGAGGTCAGTGGTTCGAATCCCGTACAGGCCTGAAATTTTTTTCAGGTCTGATTTTCACTATTGTTCAAATAGTGCTTTACTGCGAAGGATCGTTCACATATACGTCTCATAACCGCAGTTCATACATATGTTTCATATGTTTGTTGTTGTTTAATACATTGTCTAATTGACATTCAACCAATAATGAAATGATAACAAATAATAGTATTAACAATAATGATGATGATAACAATAGTCATATAATAATAATTTTAAGGGGCTAGCTGGAAAGCCTAATAGTTCCCCCATCCTCTGGGCTCCAACAATGATTAATATGCCTCATTTAATTTCGCCTGTTAATGATGAATACCGATGATTTTTCCTCTAATTGCAATTCCATTTTTGAGAGTTTTGTCTCAAACGAAAAGATTTCGACGTTTTCTAATATTCTGTCATTTCGCGTCTTATGATGTTCCGCCATGCCGCCGATCCACCGTTCCACCGATCCACCGTTCCTCGTTCTATCATTCTGTTGAATAACTCAAGGTATCGTATTTCGCAGCTTGCTTGCTTCACAAATTTAGCGACTTTTTCTGTGATTAGTCGTTGATTAAAATGGTACAATAAAGCTTTTTTTTTTTTTTTTTTAATTTCCTCAAAGCTTCCATGATGTGCAGATTACATCTATTAAGATTTCTAAAGGAAAAGTTTTTATTTAAATTATATGTCATCTCGACGTCATACGTGGCTTCGCCTTCTGTAGGAGGCAGTAGCGACAAAAATTGTCAAAGAAACCCTAAACCTAAAAACTTCTAGAATCGTAGCGTAATTTCTGAAGAGCAAATGCCAAACTTTCTGTGTTATAGCCACTAGCTGTACTTGTGAATTGGCATAGAGATAAAAATGGAGAGAATGTGAAACGTTATTATTTAGGAGTTGGTTAAAATGACTGACTAGATTTGCCTAATCATACCCATTTAATATGGCAGAAACAACTCTCGATTGAAATATTGAGCACTAGCATGTCGGCGTATACACCTGCCGTGCACTAAATACATTTTTTTCCAGTCACAATTTTAGCCTTAAAACGGTATTTATTTATGAAACAAATCTTTTTTTAATTTATTTTTAGGAACAAAACTGTTGATGTTGGTCGTAACCTTGAGAAAATATGTATAAAAAAAGAAATGTTATCTTCCTGTTGCAGTTAATTACTGTGTGGGACACACATATCTTTTTTTCCTCACCAAGGAAGATCAACAAGAGTGAAACACTACACCGCGAGTGCATCGAGCAACCTCCATACGTCATCTTCCCAGCGTGCATTGCACGCCATTCACGATGGTGGCC